TTTTTTTTCTGTTGATTAGGACCGGGACTTCGGGAGGAAAGTACAGTGTGGTTGGTTCCCTTCCTGCGTTTTCCCTCCCACCCAGCCCTTTGCCTGCATTCCCGGTTTGGTACAGTGCCATGTCAGCAGTGCCACATCAGCAGTGCCACGTCAGCAGGGCCACATCAGCAGCAGTGCCATGTCAGCAACAGTGCCATGTTAGCAGTGCCACGTCAGCAGTGCCACATCAGCAGTGCCATGTCAGCAGTGCCACGTCAGCAGTGCCACGTCAGCAGTGCCACGTCAGCAGTGCCCCGCCACCATGACGGTCTCAGTTCTGGGCATGCGAGGCCAACTGGCCACTGAGTCCATTGCCGAGTACCGACAGCGGTTCCAAGCTCAGCTCGCACTGATCGAGGCTGAGGAACAGCGTCAGGCGGCAGCCGAGGCTGCCCGCCTACAAGCTGAAGCGGCGGCAGCAGCTGAAAAGCAGCGGCTTCAGGCCGAAGCAGACGCAGATACCCAGGCACGCCGCAAGGAGGCCCAGGATCTGCTACAGCGGCATGAATCCGCCAGCATCGAAAAGCTCAAGTTCTGGCATTTTGAACCATCCGAGCACTACGAAGACGCGACACCGGAAGAGCAGCACAAGGAGTTTCTTGCCAAACTCGTGACCCGGTTGGTTTACACTTGTAACCACCTGCAGTCCGAGCTGGCGAATCTCCGACGGGCGGTGCGAAACCACAAGGATCTGCACGAGGATGCTACACGGGCACTTGATTCCCGTGTACAGGACTTGGAGCAAGTTGCACCAAGACCAGATGCTGGCGAGTCCAGCAGTGCACCCTCTACCCGCCAATTGGAGGAACGAGTTGACCACGTAGTCGCAATGCCCGACGACATTAGCACCTTCGCTGCACCTGCCACCATCACCAAGCAGCTGGACACCTTGAAGACCGAGGTTCAGCAACTGCACCAGCTGCCCAACAAGGATGGCAACACCAGCGCGCAGCAATACAAGATGCCGACATTCCGCATCGAAACGTTCGATGATTATACGCATCAAGACCCGGTCCCCTGGTGGGAAGGCTCTACGACGCAACTTCGGATTCTTTTCGTCCCCGAGCACTCGTACATCGGCGCGCTGTTCCTCAACTCAAAGGGCGGATGCCAGATCTGGCTCAGCCACCTGGCCATTCACGGCGTCCAGGTCGCCGATCTACAAGAGAAGATCGCTTGGGAAGAATTGACGAGGCTATGGAAGAAGCGCTTCATCGTGGGCGACGCCCCGACGCTCGCCATCACCCGCCTCTTCGCCATGACCCAAGGCAACACATCGACACGCGACTAGCTCACGAAATGGCAAAAGATCGCTGCAACGCCCGATCTCGAGTTGTCATTTTCACATCTGGGTCGGGAGTTCTACAACCAGTCATGTGCCGCCTTGAGCCTCGCACTTGGTGATCGCGAGCAATACACGACCTTCGCCGAAATCATCGACAAGGCAAGGCAGATCATCAAGACCAACAGGGCGGCTACAAACGAGAAGTCAGCGTGGCAGCCAACCTATGTGGAGAAAGGAAAATTTGGTCCGCGTCCGCAGCATGTCGCTGCAGTCCAACCGGACAACATTGTGGAAGACCCGGCAGCCACCCAAGCATCACGTGAGGGAGATCAGGTGGCCGCTGTCCAGCCGCGAAGCAACAACAACTCCCAAGGAAAAGGGAAGGCGAAACCGCATCGCCGGCCGGAAATGGACAGCCAGCACCATGGGTCAAGTTTCACTTGACCGAGGCTGAATACAAGTGGCACGGCCGGTATGGCTGCTGCTATTGGTGCAACAGCACCAAGCACAAGACCTCCCAATGCCCGGATCAAGGCAAGGAGGATGTTCGGCCTCGCATCAACTCGGGAAACTGAGTTGCACGGGAGGTGAGGCGACTCCACCTCTCACTCCGCCAGATTTTGCCGCCTTGCTAGCGGCCTCCTACACATCTGGGGAGGATGCGAATGTCGCAAGTCCTCGGTTCACTTACGAGGATTATGCTGTCCACTTGGTCCCACCGTTGGACCAACCACTCCACATGCAACAATCTACTGCATGCACGGTTTCACCACAATCGGCAACCGATTTGGCAGCTTCGCCGCCATCTATCGCCGGGGATTCGACGTCATGGTCAAGACTTGAAGAGCTCGACCCGTTGACGTTAGCGGACTTCCAATGGATGCCCCTTCCGCCGTCCTGTCGATTACCGAAACCGCATTGCAACGTGCTCATGGCACAATTGCGGGATTACTTGCACACTGTAGTACCAGCTCCGTTGATGGACGCCGGAGTAGAGGTTGTCGAACTTCACGACTACGTTGCAAAGATCGACCGCAAGTTCAAGACACAACGGTATGACGACGTCGACGCGCCATTGTTATACATACTCATTCAAATCGGACAGGCGACATGCAGCGCTTTGATCGACTGCGGAGCTACTCGCAACTACATGAGCCAAGACTTTATGGTACGCGTTGGCCTTGGGCCACGCGTTCAGAGGACGTCGCAGCCCACGCAAGTCACGTTGGCCGACGGTCACACGCACAAGTCAATCGACCGGTGCATTGATGCCGTCCCCATGTATTTTGCCCCGCATGCAAGAGAGGCCGTGTCCTTCGACATTTTGGACACCAAATTCAACATGATTTTGGGCATGTCATGGCTGCGAAGCGAGGATCACCCGGTGAACTTCTACCGCGGCACCGTTCACGTTCGTGATCGGAACGGAGTACTAGTCCCATGCACGGTGCCTCCTCCTCATCCTTCGATTAGCTGCCACGTGGTGTCCGCTGTAAGCATTCGAGCTTCCATCATCAGGGATGACATCGAGGAGATGGGGGTGTGTTTTCTCCACGCCCTCCCGCCCCATGACATTCCATCGATGGACTCATCACCGGACCCATGCATCACCGAGCTTCTCGACACCTACGACGACATGTTCGAAGCCCCGCACGGAGTAGTACAAGATCGGCCCATCCGCCACGAGATTATCCTCGAGGTCGGGGCCGTACCTCTGCGTGGTTGCATCTACCGCATGAGCGAGGAAGAGTTAAATGTGCTACGGGCACAACTCGACGACCTTCTCGAGAAAGGCTGGATTCGGCCTAGCTCTTCGCCATACGGTGCTTCCGTTCTCATCGTCCGGAAGAAGAACAAGGATTTGCGATTGTGCATCGATTATCGCAAGCTCAACGCGCAAAACGTCAAGAACGTCGGCCCTCTTCCGTGCATCGACGACCTCCTAAAACGGTTGGACGGGCGCCAAGTTCTTCTCCAAGCTTGACCTCAAATCGGGATATCACCAACTCGAGATCCGGCAGGAGGACCGCTACAAGACCACGTTTAAGACGTGATATGGGCATTTCGAATGGCTGGTTATGCCTTTTGGCCTTACGAATGCCCCGACCACATTCCAAACGGCTATGACAACGGAGTTCCGACACATGTTGGATAGATTCGTACTCATCTACCTTGACGACATCTTGGTGTACAGCCGGAGTTTGGACGAGCATGTGGAGCACCTGCGCACCGCTTTGGAGCGGCTACGACAAGCCAAGTACAAAGCCAACCGCGACAAATGGGAATTCGTGCGGCAAGAGCTCGAGTACTTGGGACATTATGTGATGCCGCAAGGCATTTGTCCGCTTGCGGACAAGATCGAGGTCATCCGAGTATGGCCCGAGCCCACCAACACTACGGACGTTCGCTCATTCATGGGATTGGCGGGCTACTATCAACGCTTCATCACCGAGTACTCAAGGATTGTCGCACCTACGATGAGATTACAATCGCCAAGGGTGCCATTCGTACTCGATGACAACGCACGCCGGTCATTCCAAGCACTCAAGACGGCCATGCTCATGGCACCCGTCCTTAGCATCTCTGACCCCACCCTGCCAACGAGAGTGACAACTGGCACTTCCGGCTATGGCATTGGGGCAGTCTTGGAACAACACGATGACGACAAATGGCACCCCGTGGAGTATTTCAGCCACAAAGTGCCTCCCATCAATTCACTTGATGATGCAAGGAAGAAGGAGTTGCTCGCGTTCGTAATGGCTCTCAAGCGATGGCGGCACTTCCTCCTTGGGCGTCGTAGGTTCACATGGGTCATAGACAACAACCCGTTGACCTTACTACAAGACGTAGGATACGGTGAGAAGCACGATCGGACAATGGATGTACTTCATCGACCAATTTGACTTCACACCGAAACATCTCGCCGTCCTCTCCAATCGTGCAGCAGATGCACTCTCGCGAAGACCCGATCTTTGCGCTATGACACATCATGCCTTCGCATTCGACGAGGAACTTCAGCGACATTTCATCCAAGGTTATGAGTCTGATCCGGATTTCGCCACGTTGTATGCGCAGCTATCTTCGGATCACCCGCCGGCCAGCCACTACCGCATCATCGACGGGTACTTGCTCCTCCACTCGCGAGGCAAGGACTTATTGTGTGTCCCACGAGACCGTCGTCTTCAGACTCGCTTTCTCGATGAGTACCATGACTCGCGACTCACCGACCATTTCGGAGTCAATCACACTCACCGACCATTTCGTCGTCTTCAAACTCGCCTTCTCGGTGAGTACCATGACTTCGACAACGATTCCGATGGCCTGACCTCATTACCAATGTCACTCGGTATTGCGACTCTTGAGAAGTTTGTCGACGAAGTAAGCCCCGCAACCGCAATCCCTACGGCGAGTTGCGCCCGATGCCTATCCCACGGGAACCCGGCCTCTCCATTGCCATGGACGTCACCGGTCCGTTTCCTCACGATCGCCTCGGGCACGACGACATCCTCACGGTCGTTGACCGTTTGAGTGAGTACGCGCGATTTTTCCCTTGCAAGTACTACGCCACGGCTCCCGAACTTGCGCGCCTCTTACGCACCAGTTGGATTTGCAGCCACGGCGTACCGGAAGACATCGTCAGCGACCGCGACACTCGTTTCATGTCAGCATTTTGGACTTCTCTCATGCAGGAATCCGGCACGAAGATGAAACCAAGTTCGGCTTGGCATCCACAAACGGACGGGCAAACGGAGCGGGAACATCAAACCGCTCAAATGATGCTTCGTACGCTAATCCGTCCGGATCAGAAGGATTGGGTTGACCGCCTCCCCGACATCGAGTTCGCCTACAACACTTTGTTGCATCCGACGATCGGTGTGACTCCATTCGAGTTGCACCACAGTGGCCGGAAAGGCCGTATCTTCGTCGATCTTCAACTCCCACAAACAACCGACATAGACGCTGCTTGCTCCCCCGCTTCCGTTCGGAAGTACAAGGAATTGTTGGCTCAAGCCCGTGCGAACATGCAAAAGGCTCAAGTTCGCATGCAACAGCAAGCCAACATGTGTTGCGTGCCATGCCCATATGCGCAGGTGATCTGGTTTGGGTCCCCGCGGAAGAGTTTGCACTCGAGCAGGATGTTTCATGCAAACTACTCCCCAAGTGGTTTGGACCGTGGCCCGTAACATCAGCCGCGGACGATGAGCCCGATGGCCACTCATTTGTGATCAACATCCCCCCGCATCTGACAGTCCATCCAGTCTTTCACGCCTCGAAGCTGGCGACAGATACACCAGCTAAGAGCGACGACTTCCCGGGTCGACAATCGCAAGATCCTCCATCTATGGATGGTCATCAGGAAGTTGACCGCGTCATCACGGATCGCAAGTACGGCAACAAGCCTCTACAGTACAAAGTTACATTCAAAGCATGCGATCCCGACGACACTCGATGGATTTCAGGAGCAGATTTGAAAGAATCTGCACCGCTGATCTACGCTCACTATGAGCGACAAAGGTTAGCTAAGGGAACTTCACGACCTGCCCCTCCCACCCGGACTGTGGTCCCTCCCTCAGACAGACAGCTTCGCCCTCCCAGGTAAGCTCGGTCTTTCAAGGAGGGGGGGGTGTGGCGTACTACGCAGCCACACGGGCCTCCAGGGCCCGACCAGCGTTTTCAACCTAAAAGCCTGAAAACAAGGGCTTACAGACCCTGTGTCGTCTCAGCCGAAAAGCCTGAAAACGACGGCCTTCAGGCCCTATGTCGTTTCAGCCTAAAACAGGGCCTTCCAGGCCCTGGGTCTTTTCAGCCTGAAACGGAGGGCCATTTTCAGGCCCTCATAAGATCTACCTGCCCGTAAACTTAGGCACCAGACCAGGGTTTTAGCTTAGACCATTTTTGGCCTGCTTTCAAGACAACCCTTGGTTGAACTTCAACGCCAGGGTTTGGCACGTTTTGGCATTGGCAAGAGAAGCCTCCTGGACGGGCCAGCACTATATAAGACTGGCCCGCCCTACAAGCTGCAGACAGTCACGAGGTAGTTCATAGGAACTTCCCATGCACTTCACGTGCAGGAGGTAGGAGGCAGTCTTCAAGATTCGGCAGCAGCACTCTGGAGGAGTGTTGCAGTAGTAGTAGTAGCGTTAGCGGTAGTCTTCAGCGTTGGGCGCTATCACGAGCTAGAGTAGTAGTGGAGAGAGAGAGAGAGATGGTTGGCGGAGGCCAGGGAGACTTACCTGTGGTGCCATAGCTCCAACTTCGTCTTCGATGTACCTGCAACAAGGCGCCACCTTCACAGGTTAGTACCGGACAGAGAGAGAGAGAGAGAGTTCTTCTTCTTCCTCTTCTAAGTCCACCATCTCCTCCTCCCCCTCTCACTACCTGACTTCTCAGTATCTGCAGACTGCGAGAGAGAGAGAGAGAGAGAGAGAGAGAG